CTGAGTGCATTTCTGTTGATGCTGCCTGGAGTGGAATTGCTGGATCATAGCGTGAGTGTCCATCCTTAAATGGCGGTTAACATGGGATCCACAGAGTCACCAGCCTGTTCCATGGGTTTCAGTGTCCTTGGTTCTCTCCATCATGGCCTTTGTTGCAGGAATACCCACTGAGAAGGCCCCAGTGCCCACTTCTGTCCCTCCAGCTCCACACAGAGCCCAGGAGCTGTGGAGAAGGGGGTGGCCCTGGACCTGAGCCAAGTGTAGTCCTCCCCTGGGGTTTCCTGGCAGCCTGGGTGGCATTGTATCTGTTGCTTCTGTTCTTGACCTTGGCTGTCTGTCTATTCCTCTGGGTCAGTACGCAGGGATCCTAATGCCCCCTCCCAGCATCCAGCGGGCCTGGAGTTCGGTGGAGCACCTGTGTGTAATCGGTGCTCAGAGAGCATTTGATGACTTGTCTCGGGGAATTCTAGAATGTCATTAGTTCTCAGGATCTTACAGCAGCCCAGTGGGACAGGCAGGCGAGGGGCTGCTCTCCTTCGGCTTCCTCTCTCAATGGGCCTCTGAGGCTGCCTCCAGGTGCCGTGCTGGGCACTGCCCTGCCTGAACAGATCTTACAGACCACAGAGCAGCCCAGCAAAAGTGCAGTGTGCCGGCCCTCGTGGCCTGGCCCCTTGGGGCGGGTGTGGTCTCCAGCACACCATTCATGATCTACAGATACCATCTTGTGGTTTTCTCATGCTCTCAGAGGAGGAACTGGGCTCCACTCAGTGATGGGTCTTGCATCAGTGCTGGATGCCAGGTGCAGTCCCTGCTACAGCTAAGCACGGCTCCACCGTCAGGTCCTTGTCTGCCCAGCCTCAGCTAGGTTCTTCCAGGCGGCGGCACAGGGTGTGCTGTTGTGTGCATCTCTGTGCTTGGCAGTCTCTTGAAGGTTGTTCCCTGTTGATTCCTGAAAAGCTGGCTCGTTCTTATTTGGGCTCTGTCTTTGGCAGAACATATATGGGCCGAGCACTGTGTGTGTGTTTCCCCCGAGGATGTTGGGTCATTTCCAGTCTTCTGCAGCTGGCATTCTTATCGGCTGCTCCTAGAAAAGAGAGGCTGGGAGGGAGAAGCCCCCACCCAGCATGCTATCACCAGGGCTCCACTTGGCTTCCCACTGCTCCAGTTCTATCCGCGTAGCAACGAATCAATTTACAGATGAACTTTGAGAGCTCTTGTGCCTTCACAAAGGGCCAAATGGCAGTAAGAATTGTAAGTTCTGCAGACCTGAAGCAGAGGTCAGGAGAGTCTAGGTTGGTACTTTTGTTGGGAAGAGCTGCTAAAACAGAAAGTGGGAGGGAAGGATGCTGTGGGGGCAGTGGCTGTGGAGAGCAGCGCTGCCTGCCTCCTGGCTTCCTCTGCAGGTTTCTCTTGCTGCAGAGGTCAGGCATGCCTACTGATGGAGCTCCCACTTCTGCCCCAAGCCCTGGGCTTCCTCTTTCTGAGTTGCTCGTGGGGTTCAGTCAGGGCTCCGCGTACTGCCTGTGCTCAGGTAGCATTTCCCGTCCCCTGGGCCAAGTTGTAGCGTGCAGTTGCATACTCAAGCAAGCATTACAGGAGCTTTGGCTGCAGGACAGGGAGGGCCACATGGACGTGACCACTCAGGTGGCCGGCTGCTCCTGGGAGTAGCAGGAGGGCCCCAGCAGGAAGTGTTTTTCAAGTGGTGAACTTGGTGGCTGTGGCTGAGACATGCACCCTCCCATCATTGTTCCTCCCAGTGTCATTCTTCCTCTGAGAAGCTGTGAACTTGAGGCTTTGCCCCTGGGGTTTGAGGCTCCCATGAGGTCCCCTCAGAGGAAGGTGCCTTCACCAGGCAGAGCCTGGTGGACCTGCACCAGCCCCAAGAGACTGAGCGGAGAGTGCAGGGTGACGACTGCCCGAGGGGGAGCACAGCAGCACCCCTCGGGGGATACAGGTGCCGCCTCTTGCACTAACTTGCACTAGAGGCAGTTTGGCTCCCAGCTGCCTGGGAACATGTGCAGAATTTGTCAGAAGCAGGAAGACTTGGTGTGGCGGGAACCAAATCACAGACACACACTCTCCCAGCAAAGTCCTGTTTGATTCACCCGTGTGTCCTCAGCAGACACGACTGTGTGTTGGGGGTTGGGGGGTGGGCGAGGTGACTCAGCCGCGGACGGCATTAGAATGCTTAGCACATTGAAGGCAGACTGTCTGCTTCTGGGTGCCATCTGTGGCGTGTTTGGGTTTGGAAGGACAGCTTGCTTGCTGATGAACACTTCCACAGTCTTTTGAGCTAAGTAGTTTTTGTAAATTACTGTCTAGACCATTCTGCATTAAAAAAAAAAAAACCGACAACTTCCCCATTGTTGGTTTTAAAAGTGAACCATTTTTTACAGGTGCTTTGCCACTGAGGCCTCAGCAGGGGCTGTTTTGAACCCGAGGAGCAGGTTATGTGGGCTCTGGGGCACGGGTGCGGGCCCACAGGCTGCCAGGGCAGTGCTGCCCACTGTCCAGGGTGGTCAGGAAGGCTGGCCGGACACTGAGGTGGGGGAGTACAGAACTGCTGCAGTCCGTGCTCCATGTGCGCTGTTCCCGGGGCCAGCCCGGTGGGGAGCGGGCTCCAGTGCCATCTGAAGTCCTGCTGTGGTGGCCCTTGCGTGCCTGGGTCACCCTGGCCCTGCCTCTCAGGCATCCTGGGGGCAAGGCAGATACAACACGGATGCCTTGGAGGTGGCCCCGTGTGGGTTCAAGGAACTGTTTGTAACCTGTGCATTTCACTGCAGGGGCACCCCAGGAGAGTCTTTGCAGAGTGCCGACATCACCACAGGCTAGTGGCACCTGGTACCCTTCACCCCACCCACTCAAAGCACTAGATGGGCCCTGTGTGTTTCGTAGGCATGTCAGGCTAGTGGAAGGCCAGGCCTCACCATCTTCTAACTGTGTGGTCTACCAGGGACCTCCATTACCTTCCTGGCCCTCAGTTGCCTTATCTGTAGAGCGCGCTCATGAGGACGAAGTGAAAGAACTTGGCCCAAGGGCAACCCACCAGTGATGGTCCTGTGCGAGTTGTGCCCCTTTGGGCCTGCCCAGGCTCGGCACCCTTGGGTCTATGGGTTGGTCAGACCTTGGGCAGCACAGGGTTTCCCCTTTGCCACCACAGCTGCACTCCCAAGAGGCTGGGGATCTCAGGCGGGGTGGGAATAGCTCAGATGTGGAGAAAATGGAGAGGCAAGCCGAGGGGCTGCTGGTACTCAAAACTCAGTCTCAGTTCCTTGTTTCAGACCAGGGCTGGAAATCCCCAGCAGTAATTACTCAAGGCCTGGGGGTTTTACGTACGCACCCCTGTAATAAAGCAAGGAAGAGGCTGGTCAGTAGCGGGTCCACTCCACTGAGCAGGCCCCAGCTTTGCACTCAGACCCAGTGATCCTCTTCACAGGAGAAAAACTCGGACACATGCCGCAGCCCAATTAAAATGTTTGCCAACAGGAGTTTGGTTTGAAAGGTGATTCCACGTGCCCTGTCGTAGGTAGGTTTTCAGAAGAGTCTAGTCTTCTGGACTCTGGAGAGGTCAGAGGTGTCACTGGGTTTCACAGGGCCACAGAGGAGTGCTGCCGGCTGGCCTTTGGGGGAAACCATGGAAAGAAAGTTCTGAGTGGCCATGTCCTATGTATGACTCAGCTGTGCCCAGAGCCATAGGATGTGGATCACAGATGGGAGGGAGGCAGTGCTGACTGGGGCTGGGCAGGGTGTGGAGTGACGGCTGTCCCTTCCCTGGGTTACTGTTGGCTCATTGTTATGTTTCTCCCCTTCTGGGAGAGAGTGACCTAGCCCCCGCCCCTTCTTGCCGACTCCTCCCTCCTGGTCTGGGCCACTTGAGGGTCTGTCTTCTCTGTGGTGGTGGCTGTCCTGGGCTCCTTCCTGGTGCAGGTCAGGCCTCTCCCTGCAGGAAGGAACTGTCGACCTAGCGCGTACCCCTGGTTCAGGCTCTCTGTGGCTTCCTTTAGAAGAGAGGCATGAGGATACCTGAGAGTTGGACCGGGGTGGACAGCTGGCACGGGCACTCAGAGCTCCCCTCTCCAGCCCCAGGAGTGCCTGCTGTTTCCGTACCAAGTCTGTTAAGCAGCAGCCCAGTACCAGGGTAGGGGAGCTTGGTGGGGGGCTCCTCAGGTCTCACCAGATAGCTGGTGTTGTGCAGTTCGAATCAGTTAGGAGGCTCAAGACTTGAGGCAGGCTCACGTGGAGGGAGGTGGCATCCTACCTAGCCCTTGGTCCTTTCTGCCTCACTCAGGGGCCAGACAGTGGACAGCGAAGCCACTATGAGGAGGTGGAAACAGCTATTTGCTCACTTCCCCTTTAGATGGCTGCCAGTCCTTCTAGATCGGTGAACTCTCCCAAACAAATGCTAGGAAATAGATGTATTTTCTCATCTTTATTTGTGACAAATTTCAAGCATGAAAGTAGAGAAAGGTAACCATCCTGCTTCAGTAGATAGCTGCTTACAGCCATGTGACTTTGTTTCACCTGTCCCCCTCCTGTCACTCACCCTACGGGATGATTCTGTAGCAAATTCCAGATTGTATTATTTCTTCAGGAACATGTCACTGAAAGACGAGGCTGCGTGGTGGGTCTTTAATAGCTCACACAGAGTGTGGCGTGCTGCGAAGTCGCACACAGGGTTCCCCACTGCTCCCAGGGTGTGGGAGAATGAGGTGTCTCATGCAGCTCCAGGCGTCTGACCCAGGCTGCTTCTGAGGGTTGCCGGCCCCTCCCTCAGGCTGTCTCTGTGCGTGTCCAGCCCCACCTCCTTCCTCACATTTCCTGTGAGCTGAACAGCACATGTCACCAGTTAGGCCGGCTGGAATTGTGGCTTAGCACAGGCTGTGGGGCTCTCAAGGGACAAAGGTGCCAGCCTTTCTGGAAGCCTTTTTTGTTTTGTTTTGTTTTGGGTTTTTGGGTGTTTTGTGTTTTTTTTTTTTGTCATTTGTTTGTTTTTTGAGATGGAGTCTTGCTCTGTCGCCCAGGCTGGAGTGCAGTGGCGTGATCTCGGCTCACTGCAACCTCCGCCTCCCGGGTTTGAGCAATTCTCCTGCCTCAGCCTCCCGAGTAGCTGGGACTACAGGTACACATTACCACGCCCGTGGAAGCCTTTCTAAGTTCTCATATGGAAGGATGACCACAAAAGAGCCCTGGGACAGCCAGACCTCCTGTGGTCTTGGGTGAGAAGTTGTCTCCTCCACGCCCCCATCCGTGTGTTCCTGGGGAATCCCTGAGGTGTGGGGCACCTGTGTGCTGAGGGCTGTGCTGGTGGTCCCCGGTTCACCCTCTGCCTGGATGCAAACCATTCTTCCTCGGTATCTATGCTAGCTGTGATGTCTGTGGCCTGAGACCAGGCCTCCCCGCTTCGTTTCTCTGAGATTCCAGAAGGACGAGATTAACATTCACATTCCTATTGGCCTATGTGTACCTGATCATGCCTCATGGATTTCCATTCTAAGACCTGAAAATATTCGGTGTGACAGTGGAGTCAGTTCCATCAACATTCATGTCCCCAGCGGCTGGGCTGGACCTACATGTATACCTGTGCCACACCTGGTCCCACCTGCTAACTTCCTGCCCTGCCTGCCTTTGGAGCAGGCACCTCAGGGAGGTCCCACCTGCTTCCAGAGTGCTTCCTGCTGCATTTACCCCTGCCCTTCTCCTAGTAGCTGCATGGAGGTTCTGCTGTCGACACCCCCCACCCCCACCCAACACCCTCGCCCTTCACAGGCACTTCCCGCAGCAATGAAGAGGCCAAACTGAGGCAAGTGAAGTGGGCAGGGGCAGTTGTGTTGGTAGAAAGGGGAGGCAACGCCTGTCTTCGCTGGTGGTTAAGGAAGGTCAGACCCATCTGCATCTATTGAGGGGTCCCTAGTGGAGAAGTGAGAGGCTGCACTTCCTGATGGGATTCCTGCCGCTTTGGGAAAGCCACTTGGCAGGTGTTTTGAGAGGTTTTTTTCGACTGGGAACAAATTCCAAGGGAGAATCCAAAGGATGAGGGGGCCTCAGATGTGCCAGGCTATTCCTGACAGCAAGAGGCTGCAATTGGCCATCGGGCCACAGACATGGCCCTGGCAAGCCCGAAGAGCTGCCCTAAAGCCATCTTTTGAGGCTGTCATCTGGAGTGGCTCCCCATGTGGAGTCAAAACTGTCTGTGCTGAGATTAGGATGTAGTGTACTTCCCCAGATAGATGGACAGGTGCCAAGGGCATCCCAGAAACAGGGCAAGGGCAGGTGGTCTGTGGGGGCAGTGGCTAAGGGGCATAGAAGACAGCTTGTGAAGGAGCCGCCTTGGGTCTTTTTCGTCTGCTTTTCCTCCCGATGTCCTTACCCCTGGCCCCTCCCCTGCCGTAAGGCTTTGATGCTGTCTGGCCAGCTCCCTACCCATTCTTCTCCAGCTCTTTTCTGCTTTTCAGCATGGAGGTCAGTCTCCAGCCCAGGTGGACACAGCTCGTTCTGCTACATCCTTTTTTGACCTCCCTGGGAGGCCACCTTAGGTGCTGCCCTCACCCTGTGGCCTGCCTCCCTGCCCTGAGGGTTCATGCTGGACCTCTCAGGCCTGGAGTCAGAGCGGGAGCCTCCCCTCAGCCACATACAAGTCCTGGCGCCTCTGCCACCCACAGGGCCACCTCCGTGAGAGTGGGAGACCTGCCACTCCTGGGTAGGGGGTGAGTTGCTTAAGGCAGGGTCCCCATGGCCAGGGTCAGAAGTCAGCTCATGTTTTGCTCCTATGGGACCAACACCAATTGGGTGCTAAGTGTTCCTTGGGACAGACTGTGGCCATCTATAAAGAGGCTCTGTGGAGCATTCTGGCTCAGTGTGCCTGGGCTCGAGGGCAAGGGGTCCGGGCCAGTCCCTTTGCAGGGATTCCTCGCTGCATTGCTCAGTGTCTGCCTCCTGGGCCTGGGAGGCCTATGTCTGGAATGCCCAGGTGGCTCTCCCCACACAGTGCTCAGGCTGCTTGACATCAAGACCCCAGAGGTCGCAGGGCAGGACAGTCTCATCTTGCCCCCATCCTTAGCTCTGCTGACATCACTGCCTGCCTTCTGCTGGCTCCAGGGAGTGGCCGCATTGGGCACTCACCCTCTCTCTGTGTCTTACACAACATACATTTAATATCTCAGGCTCTAGGGCTCAGAAGTCAGGTCCAGTCTCACTGGGCTGGGATCCAGGCAGCAGCGGGCTGTGCTCCTCTCTGGAGGATCCATTTCCTGCCCTGCCAGGTGTTGGCAGAGTTCATCTGTTTACGGCGTAGGATTGTAGGTTTCTAGCACCTTACAGGTACAGCAGACGGGCTCCTCTACTCCTCAGGTGAGCGGCTCACACGCTGGGGACAGAATGGGGACTGCCAAGGATGTAGCATTTCCCTTGGGGCTCCTAGAGGCTCAAGGCCTCTCTGCACACACTTAAGCATGGTTCATGAGGCAGGGGAGGGGCCAGGGGTGAGGATACCCAGTCACAGGGCCCTCAGACCTTCGCCTGGTGTCCCCAGCTCCCACACAGCTTCCAGGAGACTCTTGGGGCTGGCTGTTGGTTCAGCAGTGATTTCTGGGGCACCAGCTCAGTGCCAGACCCTGGGGTTGCCCAGGTGTTCTGTCTCCTCCCTCCTTTCTGGCAGCAGGATGGTGTCTGCCCAAGGACAAGGACACTTTGTGCCACTAGGCTAGCTGGGCCTGGGCAGTGTTCTGCTCTGCAAGGACTGCTGCTTCAGGAGTATGTGGGGAACCAAGGCTCCAAATATACCAGGGTGAGGTCAGCAGGGTGGAGGTGAAGCCATGTGGCAAGCCCAGGGACTGAGTCGGTGCTGGAGTGCCTGGGCCAGGGTGTAGTTGGCCTTGCTATCTGTCTGGGACTGGCCTCCTAACGGCGTAGTCCTCCCCTGCACTGATCCCTGCCCATTGCATGAGGAGTGCGGACAGGACTGCATCTCCTTTCTCATCACCCACCCACCCCCACCATGATGCAGCTTGAAGCAGGGTTTTCAGGGTCATTTGGAGCCCTGAATGAGAACATTGCAAGGCCGTTGTTGCCAAGGAGCAAATGGGCCCATTGGCAGAGGGGCAGCTTTGTGGGAGCTCTGCAGGGACTGCTGTCGTGGCTCTGTGGTCACTCTGCAACTTTACACCCAGAGGAGACAACACAGGGGAAGGGAGGGAGGGGCAGTGGCTGCCTTGCCCTGGAAGTGGGGCAGAAGAGTAGAAAAGCCAGAATCCATGAGGCCAGCAGAATTAACAGCCCTCAAGGACGTCCACATTCTAGTCCTGGAGCCCAGGCATGTGGTACTGTACATGACAGATGTGACTAAGGGAACAGTCTGGAGATGGGGGGATGATCCGAGATCATCTGAGCAGGCCCTGCCTAGTCAGGGAGTCCTTAGAGATGGCACCTATCTTGGCTGGGTCAGAGAGATGCTGGGCGAGAACTCGGCCTGTAGCTGGCATAAGGGGAGGGGCTGTGAGCTGGATGCAGTGCCCTCCAGAAGCTGGGAATGGCTTCGGATGACAACCAGCAAGAAAATGGGCCTCATTCCTGCAGTGTAGAGAGCTGAACTTGGCCAGACACGGTGGCTCACGCCTGTAATCCCAGCACTTTGGGAGGCCGAGGAGGGTGGATCACCTGAGGTCAGGAGTTCCAGACCAGCCTTCGACATGGTGAAACCCCCATCCCTACTAAAAAAATACAAAAATTAGGTGGGTGTGGTGGCGGGCGCCTATAATCCCAGCTACTCGGGAGGCTGAGGCAGGAGAATTGCTTGAACCCAGGAGGCGGAGGTTGCAGTGAGCTGAGATCATGCCATTGCACTCCAGCCTGGGCGACAAGAGGAAAACTTCGTCTCAAAAAAATGAATAAATAAGAGCTGAACTCTGCTAACACCTGAAGGAGCAGGAAATGGATCCTCCAGAGAGGATCCCAGCCCAGTGAGACCGAGACCTGACTTCTGAGCCCTAGAGCCTGAGATGATAAATGTGTGCTGTGTAAGATGCTGAGTTTACAATCACGTGTTATGGAAACTCATGCCACGCAGTCTTGGCAAGGATGTGGCCTGGTGGGAATGGAATGGAGCAGCCTCCCTGGGGGCGAGGTGACCACCCTGCATGGATGTGAAGCCCCGGCTCACCCGCAGCTGTCTGTGCATTAGCCCAGAATCAAGTCTGTCACTGCCATCAGTTGCAGCCTTGTTTTGTAATGGCGAACGGAAAGTGCCTAAGTGTCCCACAATATTCAAGTCGGGCCTTCCCCACTCTGGAAGGGATGGTGAGCCAAATGAGGGGCTCTGTTTGAGGCTAGACATTGCTGATGTTAAGTCAGAAAAGGCAAGAACCACGGTCAGTTTGGTTTTGAAATATGTGACAAGTGTAGATATATACACCTGTATGCACAAGGGATATTTTTGGAAAAAAATGCAAGATAATGCTACAGTAGCTGGGTCAGAGATGCCCATTTCCTTGTGTGCCCTTTTACGCTGTTTTAATTTGTATCATGTGCCTGCTTAACTCCTTTATCATGTTGGGGTGGGGGTGGGGGGGGAGTTGTGTAATCTACTCACTGTGGTTTCCTCAGGGCCCCTGGGTTCCCGCCTGCCAGCCAGCCCACCAGAAACCTGTAGCTGCTGGAGGTGGCGGTTGAGCGGTAGGATTTCTTGGTGTAACAATTAAAGGAGTTAGTAATGTGTGGGAAGTGCTTAGAACAAGGTGTGGCTCCTAGCAAGATCCTAAAAGGGTGGGATTACTCGGTCATGGGATGTGTTCATGTTTCACTCTGCCAGATAAAGTCCAGCTGTTCCCAAAGTCGGCTGTACCCCTAGAAGTACCTAGTATTGTCAGTGGGGTGCGTGTATCATATAGCCATTTGTGGGTTCAGTTTGAGTTTTCCTAATTATTGATAAAGCTGAGAAGCTGAGCATTAGCGCTGACATTTCATTGCACAGTGCCTGTTCCTGTCTTGTAGCCACTGTGCGCTGGGCTCCTGGTCAGCTGCACTGCTGCACAGGCATTCTCTGTATGTTCCAGATACAGCTCCTTGGGGCTTGTGGTCTATGCCTTCTCCCACTTTGTGACTTTCTGCTCTCTTTATGGTGTCTTTGGATTCAAATTGACTGGTTTATCATGTATTGAATTTTTTTTTTTTTAACCGAGTCTTGCTCTGTCACCCAGGCTGGAGTGCAGTGGCGTGGTCTTGGCTCACTGCAACCTCTGCCTCCCGGGTTCAAGCAGTTCTCATGCCTCAGCCTCCCGAGCAGCTGGGACTACAGGCGCATGCCAGCACACCCAGCTAATTTTTTTATTTTTAGTACAGATGGGGTTTCACTGTGTTCGCCAGGCTGGTCTCAAACTCCTGATCTCGTGATCCGCCCTCGTCGGCCTCCCAAAGTGCTGAGATTACAGGCGTGAGCCACCGCGCCCAGCCTATGTATTGATCTTTTAAGCTTTGTGGATTTTATTTGATGAATTCTTCAGTGTCTCCTCTCCCACTCCCATCAGATGGCAGAGTAGAGGTCATTTTAAGTATCAGGAGCAGCTCTTGTTTCACAAGCATCCTGGGTTTCAGCAGGTGGGTGGATATGTACCATGTACACTGGAGGGTTTGGAGCAGACCACACACCACACACTGGAGGAGGTCGGACAGCGGGTGAGGATGAGCACTGGGCGCCAGGTTGGCCTGGGGAGCAGGTAGGAGACTACATGGAGTGGGGGCTTCAGTGCTGCCAGCTCCTCTTGCTCTGGGGTTGGGGAGAGACTGGAGCAGGCTGGGGTAGGGTGTCCCAGCCTCCCAGGGGAGAAGGGCAGGAACCTGACAAATGGCTTTTTCTTTATTTCCACAGATCCGGAACATGGTGGCGGTGCTGGAAGTCATCTCCAGCCTGGAGAAATACCCCATTACCAAAGAGGCACTTGAGGTGAGTATCCTAGACCCCAGCATTTGGGAGTGCAGAATGGGGGACAGGGGACGGCACCAACCCAGTTCCTTCCCCAGCTTCTAGGAGCGTGTGTCTTTGCTTCAGAGGACCAAGAGAGGCGGTGTGCCCTCACAGCTTGTGCCCGTGATCTTGCTCTCCTGTGGCCACTGCAGTGACCAAGTGGCATTAATCCCATCCTACATGCCCAGCACACTTCATGGGCACGTGGGGACATGGGGACATCAGGAGAGGTGTGCTTGGGGGAGGCTCCAGTGAGAGGCGCCATCCCCAACCCTCCACTTGAAGCAGACCCTCTGTGCTGCCGCCTTGGCCACAGCACCCTCTCATCCAGAAAGCCTCCCTGGCAGTGTCCTTACAGTGGCCTTGACAGTCCACAGCCCCCTGGCACCAGGAGCCTGCAGGACAGCACTGCTGAGAAGCCACCTGGGACCCTGAAGGTCTGGGGACTAGGTTTGAGAATTTATATTGTCACAAAGGACCGGAAATCCCCAGGAGTTTTGTGCCAGGGAGGCTGGCAGTTTAGGGCTCAGTGGGAACCAGGTCATTTCATTGTCAGGGCCATTTCCCACCATTTCTGGCTCAGCTCATGGGGAAGTCCCTGTCCCGAAAGTATGTCATCATCTCTCTTTCTGGTTGTAGGAAACACGACTTGGGAAGCTCATCAACGACGTCCGCAAGAAAACCAAGAACGAGGAGCTGGCCAAGCGGGCCAAGAAGCTGCTGCGGAGCTGGCAGAAGCTCATCGAGCCAGCGCACCAGCATGAGGCAGCGCTGCGGGGGCTGGCGGGGGCCACTGGCTCTGCCAACGGGGGTGCACACAACTGCCGGCCGGAGGTGGGGGCGGCTGGCCCGCCCAGGAGCATCCATGACCTGAAGAGCCGCAATGACCTCCAGAGGCTGCCCGGGCAGCGGCTGGACAGGCTGGGCAGCCGCAAGCGCCGGGGTGACCAGCGTGACCTCGGCCACCCAGGGCCGCCACCTAAGGTCTCCAAAGCTAGCCACGACCCCCTGGTCCCCAACTCATCCCCCCTCCCTACCAATGGCATCAGTGGGAGTCCAGAGAGCTTCCCCGGCTCCCTGGATGGCAGTGGGCATGCAGGCCCAGAGGGCGGCCGCCTGGAGCGTGGCGAGAATGACAAGCACAGTGGCAAGATCCCCATCAACGCTGTGCGGCCGCACACCAGCTCCCCGGGCCTGGGCAAGCCCCCTGGACCCTGCTTGCAGCCAAAGGCTTCGGTGCTGCAGCAGTTGGACAGGGTGGATGAGACTCCGGGGCCTCACCACCCCAAGGGGCCCCCTCGCTGCTCTTTCAGTCCTCGGAACTCACGGCATGAGGGCTCCTTTGCCCGGCAGCAGAGCTTGTATGCACCCAAGGGCTCCGTGCCCAGCCCCTCACCGCGGCCCCAGGCGCTCGATGCCACACAGGTGCCGTCACCGCTTCCACTGGCACAGCCGTCCACACCCCCTGTACGGCGGCTTGAGCTGCTGCCCAGTGCGGAAAGCCCAGTGCGCTGGCTTGAGCAGCCGGAAAGCCACCAGCGGCTGGCGGGGCCGGGCTGCAAGGCAGGGCTGTCCCCAGCCGAGCCCCTCCTGTCCCGGGCGGGCTTCTCCCCAGACTCCTCCAAGGCGGACAGTGATGCTGCCTCCTCAGGGGGCTCGGACGGTAAAAAGAAGAAGAGGTACCGGCCTCGAGATTACACGGTTAACTTGGACGGGCAGGTGGCTGAGGCGGGCGTCAAGCCTGTCCGGTTAAAAGAGCGGAAGCTCACCTTTGACCCCATGACAAGACAGATCAAACCTCTGACCCAGAAAGAGCCAGTGCGGGCAGACAGCCCTGTGCACATGGAGCAGCAGTCCAGGACAGAGCTGGACAAGCAGGAGGCCAAGGCCAGCCTCCAGAGCCCCTTTGAACAGACGAACTGGAAGGAGCTGTCACGCAACGAGATCATCCAGTCCTACCTGAGCCGGCAGAGCAGCCTGCTCTCATCGTCGGGCGCACAGACCCCGGGGGCTCACCACTTCATGTCTGAGTACCTGAAGCAGGAGGAGAGCACCCGGCAAGGGGCCAGGCAGCTGCACGTGCTGGTGCCTCAAAGCCCGCCCACAGACCTCCCCGGGCTGACCCGGGATATCACACAGGACGATCTCGACAGAATCCAGGCCAGCCAGTGGCCGGGGGTGAACGGGTGTCAGGACACACAGGGTAACTGGTATGACTGGACGCAGTGCATATCGCTTGATCCGCACGGCGATGACGGGCGCTTGAACATTCTGCCTTATGTCTGTTTGGACTGACCGGCCTGTCAGCCACGAAGTGCATTCCCATCTTGCAGAAGCCGGGCGGGCGGGCAGGCAGGTGGGCGGGTGGCCGGGGCCCAGCTGCCTCCTGCGCTGGGAACTCGGGGAGTCCAGCCCGGGCAGGAGGGAGGGGGCGGGAGTCACGCGGTCTCTCTGCACTCTTCCCTCAAAACTCCTTTTGTGAAATGCTGCTACCAGTTTACTAACAAAATTGCGAAGGAAGGACCGCGTGGAAGGAAGGACGGCAAAGTGAGTTCAGAACTCTATAGCAAACCAGCTATAAAAAGCGTTAGTCCCTCACCCCTGAAGAGGTGCGGACACTTTCCAGCACCTGAAAGCTGGGACCTCAGTTGCAGGCAGGCACAGAAAACCTGTGGAGAGGTTACCTTTAACACAGCAACAGAAGCACGCATCTCATCTCTCTTGCATTTTCTGTTCTTTAATTTGGCCCTGAGTGTGAGACAGTGGGCCATGCTGCCTCTGTTTGCTCCCTACCCAGCCACTGTCAGGTCAGTGTTGTCCGTCATGTGCCAGAAGCTTCTCAGCTGTGGTGAGCCACTGGCATTGGGCAGGCGGGCCAGCTGGCCAGCCAGGGTGACCCACACTCCATGGGCAGCCACCTGTTTATATCTGGTTTCAGTTATAACCCCGTTTTTAAAGAAATGCTGCAAAAATTTAAGTTTTTTCATGTTTATTTTAACAACAACTTCCATCAGACCACCAGACAAAAAAAAAACCTTTCCTTTCTTCCTCCCTTTCTTTTTTCCCTTCCTGTACACATCTAGAAAACTTCACCTTTCTAGAGTCCTCCCAAAACAACACAAAAGTGACTGTGGGTGCTACTGGTTTTATGCTGTACTGTGGGGCGAGGGGGAGACCTGTCTGTACGCTGGAAACACTCATAACCATTCCTTTAGATTCGTTTGCCTTATGGTTATTTGTCATAAACGCGATTTGCAAAAACAAGGAGCCTTAGTGAATGTACAGTACCTAGACTTCTGTGTTCTCAGGACGCAGAAGGGAGCAACTTTGCTATTTGGTCCAGTAAGTGGACACCTTGTGATATAAATGTGGAAATAAAAAAAAAAAACAAAAAACCATTTGCACAAACCAGTCTGAGAATCTTTTCTCATTTGGACCTTCACAGCCAAATCAGCCCTTTCCTGGATTGTGGATTAGCCAGAAAGACCTAGACCCCAACAGCCGCAATGCAGGGAGACAGGACAGGGCACTGTGCCTTGAAGTCCACCTGCTAGCCTGCTGCTGCATTTGGGAGGACCTTCATATTTTATTCATTCAGGGCCACATTAAGGAATGTTATCTTGTCTCACCCAGACTTTACCTGGCCTAGAGAGCAGCCCTCCGTAGGAGGCTCCATAGTATAGGTCTCAGCGACTACCCCCACCTTAACAAAATACCAGAGGCTCAGAGCTGTGTGTGTGTGTGTGTGTGTGTGTGTGTGTGTGGCAGCCCACCCTGTGGCCCTGGCCCCCGGCTGCCTTACTAGCTGGTGGTTGCTGACTCCAAAAAAAATAGTTCTCCCTTGACTATAAAGTGATCATCTTTTAGTTCCCCCTCTTCCCTGAAACTGTAGGCTACGACTTTGGTTTTCTAGTTTTTCACTTTGAAATAGGTCATCTTATCCATATCTGCTTAATTTCACAAATGAAGAAACAGCTACACCTTAAGACATGCAATCTCGCAGAGCAAACCAAGGGTTCCTTCCAGCCTGTAAGACTACAGTCAGTCCAGAGCCAGTTTCAGAGCTAGCAGGGATTCCTGGCAAAAGCTTGGTGCAGAATACACTCCCCTCCCCAACAAAAGGCCATGGGCGAAGTGGCTTTGAGGGCAGGATGAGGTTGAACCCAGGCCTGCCACCCACCAGCTGTGTGGCTCTGAGCTCATCTCTTCACTCCTGTGCACATGTCCCCATTTGGGGGGTGAAAATACCTACCCCAGAGTTTTGAAAACTAAAACAGCATGTCAGTGGAAGTATTTGACACTCAGCTGTGCTGTAGGGTGCCTATGTTTAACAGCTCTGCTGATAATGTGGTGTCTCAAGGATGTGACTTTACTCTGATACAGGGCACAGCTGGAGGATATTAGGGTGCAGAGCTTGGCCTCCTATCAGCATCTCTAGAACTTTGGGACAGGCTGCAGCTCCCCCCTACCCCTGCCTGCAGGGACTACCATGCCTGTGTCCATGTATCCAGGAGGGCCTAGGGCACTAATGTTACCTGCCTTTGAGATGCAAGGATAAGCAAAGATACCTTCCAACATTTGGGGGGCCAAGTTGGGTTGCTGCTTTCTACTCTTCTTTGGGACTGGGTCTTGCTCTGTCACCCAGGCTGGAGTGCAGTGGCGCCATCATAGCTCACTGCAGCCTTGACCTGGGCTCAAGCCGATCCTCCTACCTCAGCCTCCCTAGTAGTGGGGACCACAGGCGTGCGCCACCACACCTGGCTAATTTTTGTATTTTTTGCAAAGACGAGGTTTTGTCATGTTGCCCAGACTGATTTCCAACTCCGGAGCTCAAACAATCCGCCCGCCTTGACCTCCCAAAGTCCTGGGATTACAAGCTTGAGTCACCGCACTCAGCCGGTTGCTGCTTCTAATTTAACAAGTAGAAACACTGTAACGGGGGCCGGGCGCGGTGGCTCAAGCCTGTAATCCCAGCACTTTGGGAGGCCGAGACGGGCGGATCACGAGGTCAGGAGATCGAGACCATCCTGGCTAACCCGGTGAAACCCCGTCTCTACGAAAAAAATACAAAAAACTAGCCGGGCGAGGTGGCGGGCGCCTGTAGTCCCAGCTACTCGGGAGGCTGAGGCAGGAGAAGGGCGTAAACCCGGGAGGCGGAGCTTGCAGTGAGCTGAGATCTGGCCACTGAACTCCAGTCTGGGCGACAGAGCGAGACTCCGTCTCAAAAAAAAAAAAGAAAAGAAACACTGTAACGGAATTTTAACACCCTTTTCTCGAAAAAATTGGAGGTACACGATTTGAGGAACAGATTATAGTCCTTGAATTAGTATAAGATCATCTTACTGAAAACTTCGTCTTGTTTTCCTTCACTGGGGCCTGGGGCTGGTTCATCCCGGCTGGTGCTTGGACATCAGCCGTCAGGGCCCGGCACCTCCCCCTTCTGCCGAGCCTTGGAGACAGGTGTCTAAGGACGCTGCCACGGCCACGGTCCCCAGAGTGGCCAGGAAGCCTAAGACAAGTCGCTTCCCCATTCTGGACTTCGGTCTGTGAAATGGGAATGGTGATACCTACCGCACGGCGTTCCTAGGATTCAGTGCGATGATACGAGGGCCAGGCCCGAGAACTGCGCACGTCGCGGCGGTTTCCAGAACATGATTCCAGGGACCGAGTGCTCCGGGATAGTCCCACTGCCAGAGTTTGGCCACGCGCGTGCGCCCCAGTTTGCAGAGCAAGTTTAGCTCAAGAGCTTTTCACAACTGGTTTCTTTCCCCAAAAGGTCTTTTACCTTCGGTGTCAGCCGCCGCAAGCCAACAGGAATCTAGTTAGGGGGTGCCCATGTACCCCTGGTAGAGGCCCTGATATTTGGCCCACGCACAGACGCCGACGCTGCAAAGCCCTCTGCGCTCCTGCTCGCCTGTTCCGCTCGAGTTCTGGCTCCCGGTCACTGGGACCGCCCACGTCTCAGGTGGTACAGCTTGGATCCAGGTCTCTGTCCCCTTCTTCCGCTTCCGGCCTCGGCTCCGCCCTCGCCGGAAGCGCATCTACAGCGGACTGGGCCTGCACTCGAGACGTGGTGGCTGGCGCGTCGGCCGGCGCGGTGGGATGACGCACAGAGGCAGCGACCAATGGGAAACGGCTTAGGCCGGAGCGCCCGCCCCCGCCCAGCCCCGCCCCCGCCCGGCGTCGGGCCGTCGGACGGGCGGGAAGGGGCGGCCGCTGGGGCAGGATGGCGGCGGCTGCGGTGGGCGCGGGCCCTGGCGCGGGGGGCCCGGGCGCAGCAAGCAGCAGTAGCGGGGCGCGCGAGGGCGCGCGGGTGGCGGCGCTGTGCCTGTTGTGGTACGCGCTGAGCGCGGGCGGCAACGTGGTCAACAAAGTGATCCTGAGCGCCTTCCCGTTCCCGGTGACCGTGTCGCTGTGCCACATCCTAGCTCTGTGCGCTGGGCTCCCGCCACTGCTGCGCGCCTGGCGCGTGCCCCCCGCGCCGCCCGTCTCGGGCCCCGGACCCAGTCCGCATCCGTCGTCCGGCCCGCTGCTGCCGCCGCGCTTCTACCCGCGCTACGTGCTGCCGCTCGCCTTCGGCAAGTACTTCGCGTCCGTGTCAGCGCACGTCAGCATCTGGAAGGTGCCCGTGTCTTATGCACACACCGGTAGGTTCCGCGCCCCGCCTAGGGGGCGGCGGCCGGGGCGCGCAGCTTGGTACTTGGGCGCATGGAAAGGAGTGCGCCGCCCGGGGCGCGTCCCGCCGGACTGAGAAGTCAGCAGAGGGGCTACCAAGGCTTTTGGTAGGGGAGGGACACGCACAGGATTCTTAGGGAGAAAAGGGGCTGAGAAGAGAGCTGGGAGGTAAGCAAGACAGACCACAACTGCCGTGGTGGGAGGAAGCCCTACCGACAGAGAAGGGGTGAAGAGGTCTGAGGGGCTGCCAAGCCCTGCCATCCAGCCGTGGAGGTGGAACAGGTTGGGCCCTGAAACACAGGCAGCCCCCTGAGTGCCCTTCCCTCTCTTTGCAGTCAAGGCCACCATGCCCATCTGGGTGGTCCTCCTGTCCCGGATCATTATGAAGGAGAAGCAGAGCACTAAGGTAACCCCGGGCAGGGACTCTGGGCAGGTGGGAGCTCCAGGGGATTCCTCCCTGTTGCCAACTGGTGACGTGGTCAGGATCCTGGTCTGCAGGCTGCCTGGCTTCCTGTCAAATAGGGAAGTCAGTGTAGAGGCCTCCAGTGGCCTCTTACTACTCAAGTTCTAGAATCACGCTGTGAGCAATAGTGTGTGGAGTATGTGTACCTCTGTGATCTCTGCTGTGTGGTCTTAGGAACACTGTTGTCCCTTTCAGATACAATTTTCCTCCCATACCCTACCTGGGTTTGCTGGTAGGTAATGGGTTGGTCACATTTTGGCCGTACACCCCATGTGTGGCCTTTCCAGTGGGACTAGGGACGGATCAGAACGCTGTGGGATAGGTTTACACTTTTTTTGAGACGGAGTTTTACTCTGTTGCCCATCCTGGAGTGTAGTGACACAATCTCAGCTCACTGCAACCTCTGCCTCCTAGGTTCAAGCAATTATCCTGCCTCAGCCACCCGAGTAGCTGGGACTACAGACATGCAACACCACACCTGGCTAATTTTTTTTTTTTTTTTTTTCGTATTTTTAATAGAGACAGGATTTCACTATGTTGCCAGGCTGGTCTCAAACTCCTGACCTCAAGTGATCAGTCTGCCTCAGCCTCCCAAAGTGCTGGGATTACAGGCGTGAGCCACTGCACTTGGCTAGGTTTTCACTTCTTTACAAGAGAGAGCTGTCAGGGGACCTCTGGGATCTGAAGGCAGACACGATCAAAGGAGTTTGATCTTGGCAAAATCCAGCAAAGTCTTAGAAATTAAAACAGCCAGAAGTTGTGATGGTCTGGGAACAGAAGCGAAAGCAGCACACAGGACTCAGGGCTGCATAAGGAAGATGCTTTGGGCACAGTCCAAATTCGGTTCAAGATGCCAAACCAGGGTATTTCCTGGCTTGGGGCAAGAATAGCCATGGCTTTAGCCAGAGACAGCTTTGTCCGGTATCCTTAAGTGGAAGTTGGGTGCCTGTCGTCCCAGCTGGAATCCATTTCATGCTGGACACCGTGCCTCTTTTCCAAGTGGTTGGTTTCTGGCATCTTGTGTTTTATGTAACTCAGAGAGGCAGTGCCCTGGATCGGCTTATAGAAATTGGGCCACCTATGGCTGATTTTTTTTTTTTTTTTTTAATTCCCACCTGTCTTTGTCCCAGCAAGACCTGTGTGTGCTCTGCAGTCCCGCTCCCCCAGGGTGATGTCAGACTGTGACTTGGCTCCTGGGAAGTCAAAGTTTTCCCAGAGGTGTGTAGCTGCATCACTGGATATCATCGTGTTTATCAGGTTTCCCCGTTGT